GCTGCCTGGAAACAAAGGACAAGTGTCACTGTCAATACTTTCATCATTATCATCTAATATAGTGTCATGAGGAGAATCGAGTTCTTCATGGTCAGTATCAGAGTCAATCAAATCTTCATATTTCATATCATAGTCAGTGTATCCGATAATTTCATCCTCATCATCAATAACTGGATCACAACTTCCTGTTGCCGAGTCAGCAGGCATTCCAGTATTTACATCTATACCCTTTTTATTACCTCCAGCATTAGCCTAAAAAATAAAAATACATACATTGTATTTAATATTGATCAAAACATGTCTTCTCATAATTCAATCTTAGAGTTATCAATTAGGAATAATTATTTATTATTAGTAAATACTGATATTTTGAGTTTGAAAGTTTAAAATTCCTGTATGTTGTAATTGAGGTTGAATACCACACTTAGTGAAATTATATAGATGTATATAATTATATTTATAAAACAATTTCCAATATTGAAGAATATGTAAAATATGTACTAAAAATATTTGTACATATTATATGTAATCATTAAAATAATCTTTTTGAAAAATTTGACTTAGCAACTTTAAAGAAAATAATTTTTTTATCACCTCCTTTATTTACATGAAATGTAAAATTTGATAATATCTTTATATATAATCAGGTACGTATATTAACGTTAATATACGTACCTGATATAATGAATTTTGGAACTTACAAAAATTGATAAATCTTAATTTGAGCATCATATCTATAAAACCATAAAAAATTGTGTTTCTGATTTGTGAATAAACTTGCTTCACTATCATGATAAAAAGGTCAAAACACAGATCAAAGATGTACATATTGTACCATTTATTTATAAAATATTCGATTATGTATACCAGAGACATTAAACACTGTTAAAATTAACTTTCATGTCGCTGAATAGCAACCTAACTTCGGCGATTTCCTCCATATATTATTATTTACATAAATCCCCTATGTTTTAATTTGGTCGAGTTTATAGTCCATGGGCAATAAAAAAATCTTAAAAATAATTACTAGAGACTCCAACTGCTTGATACAGTACTGTGAGATATTATTATATTGTATATTTAATAAAATAATGACAGATTTCCCTAATCTTTTCAAGATTTTATTCATCGGTCATGCATTTCCGCGAACCGGTGTTGAAGTAAAGTATCACCATGAAAAAATTATTACAAAGAAATTAATGTGTGAAAAAGAAGCGAGATAATTGTACCCGTATTTTACAAACATAAAATTTTGTTTACAAATTTGCGTGTAAATAAGTTTCATTCTAAACTATTACATAAAGAAGACACGTATAACCAAAGAGAAAAAACGTATTATAGTGTACTGTACAGCAGATTTATTCAGGACAGGAGAAATACAAATCTGACCTAAATAGTTCATACCTCTGACTCTGCTGATGTCAGTTCAGTATTCCACATTCTTTCCACCTCTAAGTGGTCTATTGCATGATCGTAATTGTGTCTTCCGTACGGTCCTCTGCGTTTTCTCTTTCTATTTTCCGACATTTTGAAAAGTAACTGAACATTGGTCACGTGACTGAACATGCAGGCTCTGTATTGGTAACTTTTAAATTCTGACCAATCGCGTACGGTGTAGATGAAACCCTTTGTTTGCCTTTGCTGATAAGCCCAAGCCACGCTATCCCAGAACTCTGATTTTTTTCAGTGTGGAAGGTCTTTGTTACGTTTAAAGTGAACACAAATATTTAAATTTAATTAAAATGTATGTGTGCGTTTATTGCCCGGACGACCAAACCCTTTCTGTTCTCGGTCGGAACAGTAAGAGACTAGAATTCAAGGGTGAGCTGAAGGAGAAAGAAGAAGTGAAAATGACATGGGGAAAGAACGATTACAGAGGATTCATTGTTAAATATGACGGTATGTTCTCAGCTTCTGTGTTGTCAATTTTAAAATATTGTATACAAGTTTCAAATACAAAATATCTTTTATCAAAGCTTTGTTTTAAATAATGCTCATTTTCTTGTGAATAACACTCGATACGGTTTAAAAATAATCCGGAACTTGTACGGATAGTTTTTATTCAATTTAGTAAGAGAGCAAAATGGCGGCCAAATGTTTGTTGAATGTAGAAAAAGGGTTTGATAGAATCGTAAATTTTACGGTATGATAATGTTTATTACAGTTATTGCGATTTTAATTAACTGTTCCTCAAGGAAACTGAATGTACAAGACTCCCTTTCAACGAATATTTATGTGTAATTCAGTGTAACTCTAGTTTGAATTGATAACGATTCGCCCCACTGACGATTCGCCCCATTCATCAGTCATGTATTATCGCTGTACAGGTCAGCTCACAGCTTAATTAACCAAATAGGTCCATTTTATTATCTATTATTATCCAATGAAATAAAATACTTTCGTAAAATACATGCGTTTTTTTTCGAATTATATATATATTCGATTTTTTCTGGTTTTGTAATATGATATTTTATCAAATAGTTTTTTTTTAAATTATGTTGGGGTGTTTTTGTAATCGTGTTAAGTGCATTTTAGTGATATAAACTTTTTGACAATCACTTTAAAAAGTAATAATAAAACCAATACACATTTCTTTTGATGAAATTAAGTAGATATATCATCTATTTAATTAATTAATTAAGTTAATGAATTTAATTATAGATGATCTATTAGTTAAGTCACTAGTTATTAATTTAATATTTTTTTCTTTAAGAATAGAATTGATGTTAAATGAATTTGGGGATAGAATCTTAAGTTTAATAGTAATGACTCCAGAAGTCTGGTTTGTGAATGTGATTGAGTTCATTGAACACAGCCTTTACTTGTCGAACTTGTTTACCATATTTTGTGATTACAAAGTACATAAATGACATAATTATATAGTTGTTTATCTGTTTTATTATTCAGATGATGAAGACAAGCTTACAGCATATGCAAATGCTGCAAATTCAAAAATTTTAAAAAAAATGACACAGGAGGACAGTATAGAAGATATGATTGACAGACTTACAGAATTTGAGGCAAGCAGGGCATTGCTACCAAAAAGAAAGCCTGTAACTACTGAAAAGGTTGCTTTAAGTAAAAAGCAGGAAGAGGAGTTTAGCCCCAAGAAGAAAAAAAAGCAATCATCATCTGACAGTGGAAAATCTGTATTGAAGAAAACAAAAGTGAAGCAGGTTAAAACTGACAGCAAGGTACAAAAAGAAATTACAGAGACCGTAAAAAGTGTTGCTGAAAGTGCATTGCTCATGCAATTTCCAGCAGAAAATACAGCTGATAGTAATGAAGAAAATGAGTCATCAAATACACGAGCAATGCAATTTCCAGCAGAAAATACAGCTGATAGTAATGAAGAAAATGAGTCATCAAATACAAAAAGTGAGACCTGGGAACGAAAAACCAGACAGAAGTTAGATTTTTCACAGAGAGAGACAATTAGCCAGGGTCAGTCTGACACGTCATTGACAAAGACGTGGGCTTTGTGCACTGGAAATAATAATCCACCAAGTAAGTACAACAAGCTTTTACGACTCCTTTCGCCCTCATCATCCCGGCAGCTAAGGGACTGTAGCGCTCTTGGGAAAATTTTCAAAATCTTCTTTTGAAAACTTGTAACCATTTTATTTTTCCAAAAAGTAAAGGCATATTCATCCATAACCTGTGAACAAAAACCCTGATATCAGTTTATTGATGCAATGTTGTTTATTATTCAAAGCAGTATTCCAACATTTTTGGTATCCATATTAATTGATTTTTGTTTTTCTAGTGTGTGTGTTCATTATTATTATGTTAAGTCATATTTCTGTTTAAGAATGCTGTGATTTCAGTAATAATTAAGAGGACAGAAAGTGAAAGTAAAAAATGTATATATATATATATAGTTACTTGTACATATGTATAATTGAATACCCTCATATTTCACAGATCCACCAGCAGATATCTTAAATTTTTTCAAAGCCTTGGGGAAACCAGATGTTCAGTCATACATAAGTGCATTTCTGCAGTTCTATGATACTTCAGAAGCTAATACATCAGAGGTAATTATTAAACTAGTGTATCAATTTTTAACAATACCATGTGAACAAAGTTTCAAACTTTAAGAACTGAATCATATTGTTAATATTATAATCTTAGCTGCTATTAACCATAAATGATTAACTTATGAAACATTAAAAATGTTAATACCACATGTGGTGCCAACAGTGGGTTGTGTGGCCGAGTGGTTTGACTTTTTGGCATCAATCCCCTCATTGCTGTGTGTTTGAATCTCACTATGAACCATTCTTTCATGTGGAGAAGCTATCTATATAGGATGCACCTTTGTGCCTGAAATAATTCATGAATTAGCATCTTCCACAAGTAAAGCTGGAAAGTCGCCATATATCCTGTATTGTGTTGGTATGACATAAAGCCCAACCCAGTGTTTATAAATACTTTTTTGGCATCATGGATGTTTTTTCCTTTTTCGCTATACCACTCGTGAAAATATTACATTTGGAATGATTTGGTGTAACCTATGTAAATGTATTTTTTATCTTAAAAGCAACAAGTACACATGTCATAAGTTGTAAGGTACTACAATGTAAGCATATCTCAATGTCATTTTATTTTTACAGGAACAACATGAAAATGTGTGGACTGAAGAGTTGTCTTATGTCCAGATGCTGCCTCCTTTACAGAATAACCAAGGTTCATTTGAAACACAGACTTCAGTAGCTACACAAGGTCAAACAAACATGCAATCATTAGAAAATCCACCTCATTTATCTACCACCCCTTTGCAAGACCAGTCATATACTGCCCACCATGCACCAAATGAGCATCAAACACCACAATCAGCAGCACAGCAGCAATATTCACACACTACAATGGCTTCAAATATCAAAAGTCCCCAACAAGAATTTCTTTGGACATGCACTCCACCGTCTTCTGTACATCAAATGCATCAGTCAACCACACTTTTACAAGAACAGCAGTCTCCATCCTATTTTCAATTTCAAACACCTCACTCATCAACACAACAGCAATTATTGAACAATCAGCAACCATCAACTGTATACAGTTCTCCACAATCTACATCACTACAGTCACAAGTCTTACATCATCCACACCAAACATTTAATAAGACATCAAGTGAAAGCCCACAACCTCAAATGTTACAGTCTGAGGCAAGTTCGGAAGCAGCCCGAAGGTCCCCAAGGAAGCATGCAACAGATTTTGTTGCTGAATCACCAGATTTAAACGGAGTAAGCATTTATAATATACATGTGATTATAATACCAGGAGTGTAAATTAATCTCTGTTTTGGTAAAGTTTGGTTAAGCTTACTTTCAAATGTTTTGCTTTGAATCATTGCAAAAAATAACATTGTAAGTAAATTCAAAATGTGCAACAGTTTCAATTTTGCTGTTTTGGGCGTTGTTTCTCTCTCCTTTTTAGCTCGACTATACAAAGTATATGGATAGCTGTCCTACTCGCCCCGGCGTTTGCGTCTAGATTTCAGATGTAAGCTGCACGCCTCCAGATGAGCCAAAATATTTTAAAGAAATTCAATCTTTAGACAAATGTATTAATATCTTATGGAAAGTAAAAAGATTCAATATCTAATAAATCATTAGCATGTCATGTGCGATTAATGACGGATTTTGCAGTATCAATCACTATAATTTTACTGCGTTACTTACACAGTACTGTAAGAGGTATTTTTGTATATTTTGGCCTCTTTTTGGCAATTTACGTGGATTGTAAGTGCCATTTGCAATGAGTAAATAACTTTATTTGTTCACTTCATAATATTTTACTTTGAAATACATTTTCAAAATTTTCATGAAAATTAGCAGGAATCTGGAGGCATGCTGCTTTAAAGTTTTGGTGCAGTAAAATATTTTTCACTATAACTTTGTCATCTCTTAAGGTGTCAACTTCAAATATATCATATTATGTTCCTTATCATCAACCACATCTTATATGACAAGGTTCATAACTCTAGCACCAATATTTTCAGATTTATCTCGCCTTGAACTTAGAATTTTCCTTAAAAAATACTATTTTTTACTGTTACTTCTTTATTTCTAAGGGATCAATTTCATACTTCAAATATATGTACCTTATCTTCATCCACATCTTATGAGACAAGGTTTATAACTTGAGCACCAATATTTTCAGATTTATCTCCCCTTGAACTTAGAATTTTCCTTAAAAAATATTAATTTTTACTGTTACTTATTTATTTCTTAAGGGATCAACTTCATACTTTAAATATATGTACACATGTACCTTATCATAAACCACATGTTATGTGACAATGTTCATAGCTCTAGCACCAATATTGCAAGAATTATATCCATATAAACTTAGATTTTTTTACTCGAAAAATGTTATTTTTTACTATAACTTTTTTTAGTTTTAAAGGTATCTATCTCAAACTTCAAATACTTATTCCTTATCATCAATTACATTTTATGAGACAAGGTTCAAAACTCTTGAAGCAATATTTACAGATTTATTTCTCTTTGAACATAGGATTTTCTTATATATTTTAACCTTTTTTATTAAGGTATCTACTTCAAACTTAAATATTTATTTCTTGTCATTACACACATGTTGTGTAACAAGGTTCATAACTCTAGAGTGACTATTTCCAGAGTTATTCCCCTTGATCTTGGAATTTATGTTTACAATGTTATTTTTTTTTTAATATAACTTAATACATCATTATACATAATTGATTTTTCTTTTATAATGTTGTTTTCCTTACTGCGTCCAGTACCCTATTAGTCGAGCTTTGCTGTCTCCTGTGACAGCTCTTGTTTCTTCTCCGACATATTGACGAAAATCGTTTATAATTTTTCTGGTTGTATTGCATTCTCTAATTTCACTTAGCTTACATCTCACATACATCGTAAGTAAAAATAAGTTATTACTCTTTATGTTTCAGAAAGTACGACTCCTGGCAAAATATGACGTGAAGGTGAATCATAGGCTGCTTAGAAAGGCCACAAGAGCTGCCAGCAATGCCAGTATTGAAAAAGCAGGTTACAAATTAGCATCAAAACTGATATGCCTCCTGTTCAGTGAGCAAGAGCTTGCAGTTTCATGTGGCCAAGGAATGAGAGTGAAAAAAGGAGATGTAAGACCATCCTTGGACAGTGAAAGACTTGAAGTTTTGAGAGGTCATTATTTTTATTTTCATCTAAACCATTGAAATTTTATCCTTTAGATAAATCTATACCACTCTCAATGTATAAAACTGGTGCGAGTTTTAATTGTATTGATTCCGTTGATGTAGTTGAATATTATAATGTTATTTCTCTATGGAATTTTTATTCACAATTATCATTTCTTCATAAAATGGTCAAAACCGCATCAAATATAGATAAGATTTTCTAGCTAAAAGGTAACTGTTAAACGCAAGCCCAGCAAAGCCGTGATCTAACTGTTGTAAAAAGAGTAACCCTCGCGCTAAATATTCGGGCCTGTACAGAAAGATGGTGTAAGATCTTTATGAGGTATACTTTTTTGATATTTTGAATTACAAGAAGAAAGATTTTTTGTAATATTTCAGATGGTTGATTAATTTGGTTAACAATTTCTTTTACAGACTATGTAATCGCATGGTGTAGAAAGAATAACAAAGGGACGCCAAAGGACAGGGATATAAATGATGCCGTTACGGAACAGATTAGCTATGCCCGAAAGAAATGTCGAACATCTGCTAGTGCTGTACATAAGAAATGAATACGTACAAGTGTTAAGTGAAAAATGTGGACTTGTGTTGTAAAAAAAGTTACATGACTTGATACTGATCTTGTGCCAAGTTAATATTTTTTTAAAGTCTCTGAGTATAGTGGTCATAAATATTAATCTATTATATGATAACACAGGGTGTTTCACCACAAACTGACATTCAGCATTTTGATTAATTTCAAATTATATATATTCTTCACTGGTTTAAAACTGAATATTGTGTCACATTTATTTATGGCCTTTTTGCATTTTAAGTAATTTCATTTTAAATGATATGTGGACTAACCTTCATTTTTATAATTACTTTAATTAATTCAACGTTCATTAATATTACTGTTAGGACATAGATATTTGCATGCATTATGTAAAATTGTAACAGATGATTCTTGGCAAATTAAAATTGTTTGACATGTACAAATTTTATGTTTTTTGAAATAATGATTTTATTAATTCTTAAAAATGCTACAAGCATTTTTATTCAGACTGAAAGGCAGACTTTTTCCTGCTAATTTTATTGTCTTTTTCCTTCTAATGAAAAGGTCTTAGGCGGATTTTTTTCCTACTAACTTTATGGATTTTTCCGCCTAATAAAAAGCCCTTAGGTGGAAATTTTTCCTGCTATGCAGGTTTTTACTATGCTAACCAGAATCCGCCTTACTAAGAGGAAAGATTTTTCCGCCTAATAAAAAGCCCTTAGGCGGAAATTTTTCCTGCTATGCAGGTTTTTACTATGCTAACCAGAATCCGCCTTACTAAGAGGAAAAATTTGCATATTTCGAGCCCTATTCTCCCTAAGTTCCTCCTAAGGCCAGATTACGCTTTATAGTACACCAAAGCGGAAACCGCTTATATACTGGAGGCGGATTCCGTGTTAATTCTGGGCGTACTTTTTCGTACGGGAAACTTTCTATGAATTAGCATAGTTACTACTTGTTAAAAGAAAATTGTATGTTATAAACAGCAATAACGAAAAAGAGTATTTCTATAGTCTTGTCACCACTATGTTATCATAAAATTTGGACCAAAATGATTATTTATTATGTTGAAATATGCGTTGTATTTTATTTGAAATGTGTTCAAAAACCATGAAAGATAAAGTGACACACACCAAATTTGACCTTTCCATATTTTTCTATTTTGGTCTGTTGATAATGACAAAAATAAAATAAAATAATAAAATAAAAGCTGTTTGTTGTATAATATAATTATATTTAGTAGTCAGTGCCTGCTGTTTCAGCAACATTTTTAGTATTAAAAGGTTTGTAACATTTGTTAAGTTAGATCTAAAATATTTTAGTATTTCCGACTGAATAATTCAGATTTTTTTTTTATGAATTACTTTCAATTTATTTTTTGCAGACCTTGATGTGTTCATACCTGGTAAATGGGTTGGAGAATTTAGATGCCCCGCAGACTGTGGTTCAAACACCAGTGTTACTTTAGATCTTACGCAGTCTGTATCCAATGAGATATCAGGAAACTTACTCGTTCATCAACAAAAGATCCCAGTGATGGGCTCATATGCTTCATATACTAAATATCTTACATTACAGGTACAATTGTTACATTGATTTCATCATTATTTAAATATGCCTGTTTTAAGGTGTTACATCCATCAATACATCAAAAGTGATTTGTAACCCATAATTTCTTAAGTGGACTTGTCAGGTTTTCATTTTGGAACAGTCCATTTCAATTTTAGAGATATCAAGATAGAAAAAAATCATTTAGTTAATTAACAGTATAGTGCTTGGTCATATTGATATTTTTTGTTGTGACCAGATGGGTAATGATTTTGATTCAGAATATAGAGCAAAGATAAGTTTTTTATAAACAAATCTCACAACTCTAAAATCTATATTTCATCTCCAGAACAAACGACCCGTGTTGACAAGTGTTGGTGGAGAAACTTATACGCAGATTGAGGTGAACGGAAAACTAACATCGTCGTTGAATATGATTGGTGCCGTCATGTTTGTATCAAACCTGCAGAAGGCATCGTGCCATGGCACTGAGAGTTACCTGAAAGAAACATGTGTCATGTACATGAGGAGAACAGCTGGTAAGTGACTGTGTATGCCAGGGGGGGCGGCAAAATCAATTGTCCATGTTGCCCAGGTTGTCCTACAACCTGTGCGGACAAGTTGAAATTTTTAATAATTTACTACATAAGTATCATGCTGACAAGTTAAGAAATGTTTAAGATAAAAATGGACAAGTAAGTCAAAATAAAATTTTGCTGTCCCTGTATAATAATTCAAAATAAATTTGTCAATAAAAAATACCTTTTTCAATATTTTATTTTCCATTTGCTGCTTTAATTAATGAATATTTGTTTTTGATGTTTAATATTCATTCACATACACATACTTTTATCAAAAAAACGTATTTGGTATTTACTATTGTGAAAGTGTCTTCTTCTATGAAAAAGCACATGGCACTTAAATGGAAGCTATACGAAAAAATGCAGAAATCATTGGTAATTCATGACCTGTATAGTTTTGCCACTACCTATAGATAGACAAAAATGAAAATCATTAAATTTATTATATGGTTTCAAGAGGATTGTGTTGACTTTCAGCATATTTTGATGGCTGCAATGGACATGGGCAGTGTTGGAGATATGGCCCACATAGAAATGACTTTATGTGCTGCTGTGACAAAGGTATGTATATTTCATGAACCCTTAGCATGGTGTAGGCAACATATTCTATTCATGCAATCATTGCAGTACAAGATCTGACGACACAACTGTTTTGTCTGATCACAGTCTGCACCGTTTGCTGTAACAAGTACATATTTTGAAATTCAAGCTAAAAGTGTCCAAATGGAAAGATGGACAAACATGATAAAAAGGGTGAAAGTCTTTTTCTCAGGCCTCTTAAGTTTTCATAATGTTAATAAAGTTATGTGTTTATCATCCAAAATTTCATCTGATGTGTTTATCATCCAAAATTTCATCTGATGCTATTGATATATTTGTATTATTTATAAATATTTTTGTACTTTTAGACTATGCCGGGGATAGATGCGAGACTCACCTTACAACAACAACTACGACTACCACCACCACAACTACAACTACGACTACCCCCACCCCAACAACCACAAAACCGTCCACCTCCACTACCACCCCTACAACAACTTCAACTACAACAACAACCACACCATCAACAACAACAAGTACTTCAACAACATCAACTACTACGACCCCATCCACAACTTCGACAACCTCAACTATGGCACCAACAAGTTCATCCACCACTGTTAAGGCTACTACCTCTACATTACCATCAACTTCAACAAGGGTTACATCACCAACTACTTCATCGACTACCAGATTACCTTCAACCACAACCAAAGCTTCTACTGTAGCAGTAACCACAGCTTCGACATCTGCTTCCACATCAACTGCAGCTTCTACGTCAACCGCTGCTCCTTCAACAGCTTCAACCACTAAATCAACTACAACGAGCACACCAACTACAACAGTCAAACAGACGACATCTTCTACCACTAGTACAAAAGCTTCCACTTCAACAAGCACATCCACGTCCACCTCGACAAGTACATCTACAACCACTACCACACCATCAACCACAACCCAAACTACAAAGGTATGTTTGAACTTTAAAGACTATTATCATATGCAAACTTAGGTCCAAGTTGTTTGATGGTTCTGTGTCTAATGGATTGAGGGTTCTTTGGATCATTATAATTTTGACAAAGTATTTTCATGAAGTCCACAATTTTTGTTATCTTTTTCTTACTTTGACATGTTTCTTAACAATTATGAATGATTTTGTCCAGATTGAAAGATGAAAAAGTTCATTAAAGGGTTTTAGTGTGATAAGGATTAACTATGTATCTTTTTACTTCAGCCTACTACTCAATCCACCACTAAATTGACAACACCGACAACGTCAACTACAGCAAGTACGTCATCAACAACATCCAGCACTGTGACAACACCGACTACAACCAAGACTACAAAAACGTCCACAACAACACAACCGACAACAAGTACACAAATGTCAACAATTGCATGTACACCAGTTCACAACTGTAGTGTACACTATGGCTGTGGCCCGCAGGGACAGAGAATCTGTGCGCCAGGCTGGACAGGTGCTCACTGTGATCAGCAAATTAACCAAGGATTAGCCGATTGTGATGTTTATGACTGTAAGTTAGTTGTTTTAAATATACAGTAAACTTCGCTTATTATGGTATTCATGGGGACCGCCATATTTATTTTTTTATAACCAGATTTCGCTATAATATGGTTCAGACCAACATCTGACAAATGGTACAAAAATCCTGGAAAAATATTTATATAGTCCAGTCATCTCATAAAACTTTAGTGGAGTCCCTTTAAGAATCATTTTGTTGAGCCAGTGGTCAGTCACTATATATATATATATCATTATACTGACTATTTGAAAGCTTTGGTCTATCTAAAATACATTTTAGGAAAAGTAACATGTCAAATGTATTTTCAGTGGATGTGTTTTTGCCGAGTGAATGGAGAGGAAACTACACTTGTGATGATGACAAAAGAGAGATCATCTTCATTATGAACATCACAAAATCATCCTCGACCATCGGTTTGTCAGGGGACATGTACATCGATAACAAGAAACTAGAAATGGCCGGATCATTTGCGTCGTTCTTCAAGATATTTGCTCTTCAGAGTGACATCGCTATAAGTAGTCAAATAGCAAATCGAAATTTCACAAAAGTAGAATTAAACGGACGAGTTCAAAGCTCGGTGTTCATCGATGGGGCTGCCATATTTCTTGAAGCTTCTGGCAAAAAGAATTGTCCAATGGAATTAAGAAGAACTGCAGGTAAAGCTGTTTAATTAACCCAAAGGTTATAAAAGTAGAATTAAACTGGGACAGCTCTAAATCAGGGAAATAAATCTTCAAAAAAAAATCAAACTTAAGAAAAATAAGGAACTTACTAGTTGTATCACCAATATTCAAACCTGTAACTAACAAAGTAATAAAATTTCTGCATACTATGAATTCACTAGATTTGAGGTTTTTTCACAAGGGACATTTATGTTAGGTCCTAAGTTCTTTAAGAAGCTTTTGACTAGAACATTAAACTGTTACTTTATCTACTTTCCAGTGTTCACACAAGAAAATTGGTGCAGCGGTCATGGTTCTTGCCAGAGATATGGAACAACTAAAAGCGAGTACATCTGTTGCTGTGATGCTAGTAAGTAATATATATGTTTAAAAAAACATTTAGAACTTTAAAATTTTTAGAAAGGGTAATTTATTTTTAAATTTTCTTTCATTTTGTATGAAGAAGGAAGTAAAAATTGATTCTGAATGGCTGTGAACATAGGTTATTGTTTCAGTTTCTCAAAGTAAGTATGGGTTTGAGCCCTGATAGGGACATTCCTATGGTTACGCTACAAAGTGGTATCCAAGGAAGCTGAATATGAAGTCTATTTTTACCTTTAATACTTGATCCCTATTTTATAGTGATTGATTCCTTTATTGAATATATCAATTAGACAATAATACACAGGTTGCTCCTTTGCACAGAATTTATAGTGAATTGTTTCACAACTTTCAAAACCTCAATATCATCTTTATTGCCCAAGAAAATTGGATCAAGAGATCTATTATTTTTGTCCCATATATCTGTACAGACAACTTTAATTGTGACCCTATCATTCCATTCTTCACTCTTTTACATGTTTTTCATACCATCAGTTAAGAGATTGAAATTTGACCTGATTTAATAATGGTCTTGACCCTTAAGGTCATATTTTCAATATTCAGAAAATTTGTTATTCATTTCCATATTTGGGACAAAGACATAAGGCTTAAGTACATCTGATGCTCTTGGATGAAAATTTCAGCGGACAATATTTATAT